AACCACTAAAAAATAGCTAATTATCATGCAAATTAGGTAATTAATATGCACGGATTTTTACCAAAAATTAATCAAATCTGCGCATATGTTCAGAGCATCTATGTACCAAGTTTCATCAAAATCCAATGAGTGGTTCTTTAGATATCAGTGGAACAGTCATAGAACAGCTAAAAATTAGCTAATTATCATGCAAATTAGGTAATTAACGAGCATGGATTTTTACCAAAACCTAATCAAATCTGAGCATTGGCCCAGAGCATCTATGCACCAAGTTTCATCAAAAACCGATGTATGGTTCTTGAGATAGCAGTGGAACAGTCGGACACACATACACACATACACACACACATACACACATACACACATACACACATACAGACACACTAACTGCAAAGACTCCCATTTTGTGCTTCGCACATGGGAGTCAAAAATAGACTATAAATCTACATGGGTACAGACTAGCAACTATTATTTTGCATTTCAACATAGATTTTAGACAGGCACTTATCATTTTCTGTGTAAGACCCTGATTACATGTGTTGTTTATACCAAGGTTAGAATAGCATTGGCCAAGTCATGCCTGAGAAATAGTTTGCAACAAAAATTGCTGTCAGTCAGCAAAGGATAACTGAAAAAAAAAAAACATGCATACATAAAACTTTATGACCTTGTACCAACTTCAAACAAAATTTGATCAAGGTAGGTCTGAGAAACTTCATCTGACAGTGACTACTATTTAAATAGTACTTATTGTACTCACCTCTGTGTTTCTGTTGTGTTTGTTTGTTAATTCGTCCTGGCACAATGGGCTCCTGTTTTATCATACCAAAGCTGTGTGTAGCAAGACTGAAAGAAACAAAAACATGAGCCATAACTTAAAGGGGCACCTTCCAGTTAAGATTAATTTTACAACAAATTCTGGATTAAAATAACAATGGATAACAAAAGATAGATTAACATTGTAAACAACATAAACAATAGTGTCCCATGATTCTTTGGTGCAATCCATGGGATTGAGCGGTTCCCCTTTAATAATTAACAGACAGGCTGCTAATCCAATCAAGAAACTAAATATTAGATGTTGTTTGCTTCAGTTTAATAGTAAAAGAAAATATAAAAGAGACATGCAGAATAAAATTTAAAAGAAACAGGGGTGATAATTAGACTAGATAGCATGTCTCACCTTTCAGCCAGGGCTGTAAACTGAGAGTTTCGTTCCATGAAATCTCTCAATGATTCCAAGAGAGATGAAAACCATGCTAGATCCTCACCTTGGTATCTGCTCTCAAGCTGAAATAATAAATCACATGTTAGTATTAATCGGTTCACGCAATGTTCAGTGAGATTAAGACAAACTTCCATTATTTCTATCTTATCTAATGGTGTTTTTGATTGAAAAATATCAAAGCTAATCTTCCATCAAATCTACTTGAACTTGTACTTGTGTCTGATATCCATGAATGACAATAAAGCAGTACTTACACAGTGTACCATGAGTAAACAAAAAAGGAGATAACATGCTTTTTTCATAGGGAAAAAAACAAATTTTTTTTTGCCACAAAATATATATTACTTTACATAAAGCAAATGCAAAAAATATTCTTTTATCTAATTTTTGAAGAAAAAAACACACAAAAAAGACTATTCTGCTATCTTAAGTGGTTGATAATTTAGTTTTTACAGTAAGTAACAAATACGTATTACATTTTGTTTGGGAAAGCATCGGGAAATACTTGTTTACTTACAAAATTCTGTTGACCTAATGAAGTGGCAATAGGTACATATTTTACTAGTGTATTATCCCACACAGGTCTGAAATACAGAACAAATATTTAGCCAAAGTTTACACTGCATCACAATAGAACACATGTGTACATGTGGATAGTGATGTGCTATGTGTGCACAAAGTGTAAGGAAATTGATCAAGGTATGTCAGAGATGTATAGCCTGAACAGCACTATTAAAAATGTATGTATCTGCAATTAAGAGTCTGTAAAACAAAATGATGTCATCAACATCCAATGGCGTGTAATGTAATTTGCATATTAATACAGTACAGTTATCCAGACATCAAGGAATATGGTAATAAGTGATTCAGGTGTTTTGAAAACTTCCGAGAGAGATTAGATGACATTGGCTGTCCTACCTGAGTATCCTGGAAAGATACAGACATAATCCACGGTATCTACCGGAATATATCACATCCACTTCTGCTCCTGGTGCGAATAAGGGTTGTTGTGGATGTGGTGTGGAGACATCAAATGTGGAGTGTACTGGATTTACAGCAGGAGTGGAGGCTGAGTGGAAACAAAACAGACATTTCATGAGAGAAATGTTGAAGTGAATCAGAAGCATTCTGGTAAGGCCTTGTTAAACACATAAGTGTTTTGCTGAAGGTCATGTATTTGCATGTTGCGATGTCATTTCTACAAAGTCACATATTTCGACTTGATCTGAGACAATTTCGTATGATTAAAATAAAATTTTCTGCTTTAGCAATACTTTTCATACTACATTCATTTTTAAATGTTCTAATTTTGAGATTCTCTCTGACCAGTCAATTATTGATATAGATATCTTACCTGCCACTGGTGGAGCAAAATTACCACCTGGGCTGGTCACCATATGGGACTGTGGCGCTGAAATACAAGACACGATTAAATTTAAACAATTTAAGTTTTGATTTCACAGCTACGATTGTTGAATATATTTTCCTTCTTGAAAATGCATGCCAAGACCTCCACATGTTGTCCATATAAATAATGTACGTGTAAAAGCACATGTGCTGAGGCCACAAAAATGAAGCATGTCCACAAATAACACTAAGACTAAGACGCGTACTGTAAAATACTTTATTTTAGTTGGAATTAATTTTCACTGAAAATTTTCACTTATGGGTGTTTTGTATGGAATCTATTGTATTTCACTGATTTTTGATGAGTTGAATGTGAAATAAAAACAAAAAGGTATATTCGCTGTATTTTATTTTCACTGAATCCTCCCTTCTCTGAAAATAACAAGTACTTTACAGTAGATTATATGTGAACAGTGAATACACTATTCTATGATGTAACACATCACACAACACTTTACAACTGTCAGATACTGTACGAAACTTACCAAATGGGGACGCCATTACAGACGCATTCAATGATGTTACTTCAGACACATGTTGTGGCTCACCACCAAACCTAATAAATGCTCTTGTGGCCCACTCTACAATTTGTGGGTCCCGTGTTGGCTTACTGCACACCAAAACAAGACAGGTTGCACAGGCATGATCCTCCTGCAAAACAAGATACACTTAATATGTTTTCTACAACCAAGAGATTCTGTTAGGTATCTGGCATCGCATCATATTCTTAAAACAAAATCTGTTGATTGGCAGACACTCAATAATCTGCATCTGTTCTTTTTAAATTCAGACATTAGGTTTGAGAAATGATACATATGTACTATAGTATGTAAATGAGTTTGAAAAAGCCTGATATACAAGTCATTGAAAATGACACAGTCCCAGTTAAATTTTTGAAAGTTCTCTTTGTGCTCGTCATATTGAAGCGGAGGGGTTGACGTGAGCGTGTCCTTGAAACTTGAGTTCCAAGTGGTGTATACAACAGATTGTTTATTTACATCAAAACATGTGTTCCGTGTCGTAGTAATATGGCCAAAAACAAAAACAGCCGTTATTCGGCCATCTTTGATCTGATTATGAAACACACTGATATGTATGATGTATGTGCCAAATACGAATGAAAATGGTACATAAATTGTGGAAATATACTAGTAAGACCAAAAAGTCAGATGGCTGTCAATCGGCCATCCTTGACCAGATTTTGAAACAAATTGTCATGAACATACATTCTAACATGTATTCTAACATATACTAGTATGTGCCAAATTTGAATGAAAACTGACAGAGCACGTCCAAGATACCGCATAAAAAAAAAAACAAGATGCCTGCCAGTTGACCATCCTTGATCCAATTGCAAAATAAATCGTCATGGACATGTATCCTAACATGTATAATTTATGTACCAAGTTTGAATGACAACTGAAAAAGTATGTCCAAAATACAACATTTTCAAAAAACAAGATGGCTGCCAGTCAATCATTTTGAATCGAATCGCTAAACCACTGCATGTGCAATTGTCCCACATAAGGTACCAGGCACATGCAAAGAATGAACAGAATCGGTCCACAGGATTCTGAAATATGACTCTGGACAGACTGACGCACGGACAGACTCAGGAACTCACGGACGGTCGGGGACATGTATCTTAACATGTATGATCTATGTACTAAATTTGAATGAAAACTGACAAAGCATGTCCAAAATACAACATTTTCAAAAAACAAGATGGCTGCCAGTCGGCCATTTTGAATTGAATCGCTAAACCACTACATGTGCACATGTCCCACATAATGTACTAGGCACATGCAAAGAATGAACGGGATCGGTCTAAGGGATTCTGAGATACGACTCCGGACGGACGCATGTAAGCACGGAGACGAAATTATAAGTCCTTGTTTCAACCTCGTCCGAACGGGGACTAAAAATGCCCAAATATAGGAAGTCAGTTTTCTCTCAATACAGTATGTGGAATGCAGAGATCATATTTTATTAACCCAACAAAACAAACCTTATGAAGTCTGAAGAACGCTTCTACATCAGGATTTTCTGGACCACCATGCTGAAGCAAAAGTTGACGAAGTTGTTCAGCCGGACTGAGAACACTAAATATATGACTTCCCTGGAGAAGCAAAGAAGAAAACTTAGTTTATATAACAAGTCATGGTATATGTACTAATTTTTTTCAACCACAATGACACTATTTATTAACATATCTAGTAGCAATAATTAGTAGCAACCATAGTTTTAATACAAAATCTTTGGATCTGTTTTCACATGCATCTGATCTTCCCATTCTGTATTTTTGACAGTAATGACACAAAATTAATATTTTTCTTGTATATTTTTTTTATTTGACATTTTGTATTATTCCTACTTATTTTGTTCACATTTTCGTTCATTACAAAGACAACACAATCACTACAGTGTATGACATCACACATGTGAATACAATATGAACCACTCTTGTGACCTGTGAAACATAGCATGATTGTGAATATGCTCAAAAAATCAAAATAGTGAAATTAAATATTAGTGAAAATAAATGGTTTTCCAGTACCTGTGAACTCAGTAAAACAAACTTCCTGAATGGCAACATGTGTTGTAGAACAACTGCAGGTGGGTCTGGCTGTAAGGGTTGATTTGGCAGTCTTTGCTGCTTCACAATGTTTTGTGGCAAGAAATAGGGCACCTCATCCAATGCCCAAGTTCGACCATCTACTGTGCTGGTTACCTAGCAATTATCAACAGATAAAACATGTGATCAGATAAAGTGTTTAAATCACAACAACTGATTTGTGATCTCTCAAAATGTCAATGTTGTGACTTATTTTTTATTTTAACTGAGAGAACA